CAGCGCCAGGCTCCTTCACACTTGGTGATGGATACACTGCATGTTTAGTCTGAGTTCAAACATTGATTGGGCTAGTTAGTAGTACTCTAGCGTTCTGCTTCGTTACTCTGAACTACGTGGATGAGGTCAGTCCTGTCAGGTCAGTCTTTGTATCAAAGTCTTCCCTGCGTTCTTCAGCATCTTTATGTATAAATGAGAATGTACATTGCTTGTCAAGATTCTACTCGTACCACATTGTCTATTCAGTCCTTTTCATCACATTGCAGATTCTCGGTTTATTACGTACATTGCATATCTGTGCATGTAACCCACTAGCCTACAACCTCCTCCAAGCTTCCAAACTGGTAAGAGTTCCCCTCCTCTCACTCTGGTTGAGTGTAGAGCTCTCTTGGGCTCATACGGCCAGCATGTACTTGCCTCATGCAAATGTTCGTTTGGCGGGTTGCTCGCACAACTTGTATAGGCTTGACACAACATTTCGGTCAGCCCATGATCCTCTCAATATGCTCCATGGCGGACCAAGGTACCCCCAATGCCTTTTCCCTTCACTAGGCCTCTCCAAGAGCACCTCGACCTCTTTTTGGTCAGGTACATGCAGTCCGAGTGGTTTGTACCAGCTTGGTATGCCTCTAGAGCCTCCTTATACCTCATTTTCATTTTTAGATGTTGCCCCCTGGGTCCGAATAGGCAACCCTACTTCAAAGAAAAAAACCTTCTGGATCTTTTTCTCGATTTCTTTTTATCCTACCCCAATTTGAGTAGGCCGAGGTATTTTCTTGTACCTTGGTGCCATCTCAGCCTTGGATTTGGCTGGGATCCGAGACCATTATTAATCGGAACTACCCCTAAGTGGTGCTTACTTCATATTTGAGCTCCAAAACTCACTTTTTAATGTTTGGTGCATTGACCTTAATTTTTGGCCAAATGCACTGTTCCATATTTTTTCTGTTTTTGTTTTTTTCCATTTTGGGCTGCCAACTCATTCTCGAGTTGGTTATTTAAGATGGCCCCACAAAAAAATGGCCATATCTCCTCTTCCATGGTCCAAAAGAAAATCGGCCTATTTATTTTTGTTTTTTTGTCTCATTTGGGTCTTTTTAATTCAAATATTGTCGAGATAATGCCTCAAAGGCCTTATGTCGTCAATTCGGATTGCCCTTCACTACATAAGGTGTGATAAGGTCACAGTAGGGACCTGCCAGTCCCTAATGTGCCAGCCCCAACTGTGCCAGTCCCAACTGGCAGGAACATCTTTCTCCACTCTTTTCTCCCCTTTTGTCTCATTCTCCCTCTTTTTTTATTATTTTTTATTTTATTTTTATTTTATTTATGTTGTGATAAGTGTCAAGCAGTTGTAGACTAGAGTCATATCTAGATCCAACAGCTGACCTTTATTTCTCGGATCTCAATAATGAAGCCCCTACGCTAATGGGGGTTCCATTTTGCCTCCGTGAGTCTCAATTTTTTGCCCCTCTTGCTCCGATTTTTCCTTCACAGCCTATTTCCTGCGTAAAGCCCCTAGGGGCTCTATATTCTCATGTCTTACTAGTCCAAGATATCTTGGACTGCAGGGCATGTCTCCCATCACCATTTTGTTTTTCTTTTTGCCTCCAAACCCCCTGTAACTTGGCCCCACTCAATTCTTGCACTAGTGTTTGCTACCATTTCCCATCGTCAAGATTCTGATCTTGACAGTGCCACCTTCTTCACATGTTCACCCTCCATGCACAGTTCACCGTTTCCATTGGGACACTCAAGTCTCCGCCACTCGTCCCGTACTAGTCTCATTTTCTAGTCACGTCGGTAGTCCTGCCGGCACATGTTCTAACTTTTGATTATTTTTATTTGAACTCATTTAGTCTCCAACATGGTCCCCGTTGTCGTCTCATTTTTTTATTTAGGACTTCTCATTCCCCGACAGTCTCAACCTCCTTCCCATGTATCTCAAGTGCCTTGATTATTCCCGGTCGCGAGATCCTCATCTCACGGTTACCATTTACCGTCTCCACTTGCTCGAAGCCTGAGACACTTTTTTCTAGTGTCTCGAGTACACCAAGGCTCATTTTTCGTCGGCCTTAGCAACCCTATGCAGTCCGTTATTTCTCGAAGTCCAGTATTAGTCATTTTCCTAGTTTTATTGCCCCACAACTAGCCCCAAACTGAAACAAAATGAGACGGTCAATTTCCAAGTGCATTCGGGTTCAATATTGACCTCGGATGTACTTGAAACATGTGTTCTCCTCCCCTCTTGTAATCCATTGCATCTCGGTTGCATGGGGTCTTGATTTTCTTTAATTTTCTCAGTAAAATCTAAAGGAAAATCAAGATAGTTTGTAATCGGATCCATCCAACCGATTCATCTTTGGATGAATCCGGCCACAAATATATTTTCCAAGTGACCATTTTTTACAGTTAGTGACATTTTCTCATCACCTTTGCTGCCCATATTACTCTGGATTACACCACGATCTTATTTTTCAGGTTCAGCATGCCTAGGTCTTTCACATTTAACACCTTCGTGGTTAGTTGCATCTCCTTTGAGTCTCTTCTTAATTTTTAGGTCTAGAGGCCTCGAAATTTACCCTCCCCTTCTTTTTTTCTAATTTTCCAGGTTGTTCGTGGTTCGGCACTTGCTCGGGTGACACCTACTAGTCTTCTCTTTACATCCCCTTGCTTGGTTCATGGCCTTTAGGCTCTTCTCATGCCGTATTCAGATGACCTCATCGACTACAAGGTACGCTCCCATGTGTCGGCGTTACGACATTATTTTCCTTGACGTTGTTGACCCTCTTCTACTTGCGATGCTTGACCTCATGGTATTATTTTCTCGGTGGTCCTCCTTCTTTGAGAAGGGGGGGCGCCTTTACTAATTTCCTGCAGCACTTTGTCGCCCGCCACTCTGTTGGTTTATTTTTGGCCCAATGACTCGGCGGCCTGGAGCACGCTCCTGGGCCCTAGGTGCCGGCATTCCCGCCTTAACCCTTCATGTTTTCTGTCTCTTTTGCTTCCTCATTCCGGATCCCTCTGTCATGCACACGTTAGGCATATATCTCATTTCAAGGGTCGAGACTTGCTCGGGAACCATAGATCCCGACACCGGACAGTCCGGTTTGCTGTGTCGGTGTCCAGTTATCCGACAAAAAAAATATATAAAAAAATCACTCAGGATATAGACACACACAGGTTCGTAGGACGGGTCGGACATGCGAATGAATTCAACATTATTCAAATTGAAAATGTTAAGTTTATCAACGACCGACATTCTTCGAACGTCAAAGTTCAGAACTTGAAATTTTAAACCGGCACACGTGATACAAACACACACACAACAAAGTTTCACACCAGCTCTAGCCCGCAAGTGTCATTTCCACACCCACTCCAACCCCCAAGTATCCTGCCTCAGTTTGTTGACTCTAATTGTTTGTAATTCTTGCGTGCAAGCGGCTGTTCTTCGGAATCAAAGGCGTCCCCCTTCCGACCCTCCGCACTATTCTCTCCAGTCTCGCCGCTCTCCTCCATTGCAGCAGTTTCCTCCTCCGCGACCTTCCGTGATCTCCCCAGCTTGAGTTTCGCCGGTTCGGGTGCAGCCCCGACCGACCGCTCTTGGGAGTCACAACATTCCTCCTCCACAACATTATCAGTGGCACCACCACTGTCATCGATTAAAGTCGCGCCCTCCACAACCTTCCGTGGCCTCTCCGGTTTACATTTGGCTTGTTTCGGTGCCAGTGTTGACGCCTTCAGCCGGACAACCATAAATGTTTCGGCATGTGCCTCATTCATGGTCTTCGCAGCCTCCTGCGACTCCCCCAAATGAAGGCGAGTCAAATACTCGAACGCCTTCGTCGATTTTCGCGAAGAATCGTTGAGCTCACGCTCAAGCTCAAGGAGACTGCCCTGATTCGTGTGCATACCATGTGTTCTTCGTCTCCATTATTTTCCTCCACCTCGACCGCATATGTGACATCATCATCGTCCTCCTCCTCGTCGTCGTCCTCCGACTCGTCATCGCATTCCCTTCTCTTATTTTCCTCCCATAACCGAGACCACTACCACGACTCCTCCACACATATGTACGCATGCGTTCGGACCTTCTTCTATCCTTCTCCCACAAAAACTCATCCTCTCCCGTCTTGGGCTTCTTCGTGAACTTTTTCAACAGATGTTGATTACATCTGTTGTACACCAAGGTACTCAACTTCACCGTTTTGAGCCTATGTTGCGGGTGGGAGTGGATACGCTCGAAAAGACTTCAATTCCGTTCATAACTGAAGGAGGAGGAGCTTTGGCCAAGCAACCAGATTGCTTGCCTTTGGAGGTGGGGCAACTTGCTGCACCATTTTCTCCGCTACTGTGCAGGTTGCATCCCACGTGCTTCTTGCATCGCCTTCTCCGACCTAAACTTGTCGACGCCATCGATCCAATTGTTCACCTTATCATCCACCTCCTTGTACATTGCTGGTTTGCACCAAGCATACACCTACGTCGAAAACCCGTCTGCGACCTGAAGATCTTGCTCCGAATTGCTGACTTTGTACTCAAGATCCAAAGACATAGTTGCGCAATGAACTGAGGATATCATAACATTCCAGCGTTGCATGATGATGATCTCTAACTCATCCTTCTCTACCTCTGTAAAGGTCTTGCTCTCTCTGAAGTTCTCCATTGAAGTGTCCATGATGCCATATATTTTGTTGATCGTCGGGTCATCCCGGTCCACGAACTTCAAAAGACTCAGCAGACCCACACCAGCCAAAAACACATTGTCGAGGATAATCTCGTTGGCTGCATGGAACAAATGCAATTGTGTAGGGTTGACGATACTCTCTTTCCACGCCTCATCGATCAAGAAGGATCGAATTGGCATGTAGAGGCGTTGTAGACTGTTCAACACGATAAAATTTGTGGCGAACCGTGTTGCGCTCGGTCTCGCCACAATTTTCTCGCTCGATTGGGAGAGCAGCAGGTCCCTCACGTGCGTGTGGTTGGTGAAGAATTTGTCAACCTCGACCGCGTGTATGATTGTCACATCGATCCAACCAATCTTAGTGAATGCCTCCAGCATAAGGTCGATGTTGTGCGCTGTGCACGGGCTCGAGAAGATGTGAGGGAACTCCGTCTCGATCATCCGGTCTGCCGTTGCGCACACTGCAGCATTATCCATGACCATCTGGATAACAACATCCTCCCCAACCTCCTTGACCACCCTTTTTAATATTTTATAATAGGCAATCGCCGCCTTACTCTAATTGCTCATACAGACACTACGCCAAAGATCGCGCCTTTCGAGAAGGACACCATCACATTGATGTGAGGCCTTGCTCTGCGATCAGTTCAACCATCCAGTTGCAGCAAGAAACCGGTGATAGACCACTGTCACCGTTGTTCCTCCACTCTTGCTGCAACCCTCCCCTTCGTGACCTCCACACGAGTGGTCCTCACCTTCTCGTATTTCACGTACTTGAAGGACTCGTGCGCATTCATCAGCACCTTCGCAATGTTATCTCACTCCTCACTCTACATCATGTTAAAGGGGATGCAGTGGGCAGTCATCCAATCGTTGATTGTCCGTTTTATCTTCTCATTCTTCGTAACGACGGTGACACTATCCATTATCAAGGACTGCTTTGTCTCAGTCCTCAATCCAGACGGCCCCATGACAATGCATGGGGGCATCTCTCGTGCCTCCCCCTCGCTTGCCTCACAATCATCCTGTTATGAGTGCACGTTAGCAGGTTCGATAACCCCCCCAACCTCTGCGATTGCAACATTCTTCACTCCTTACCTCTCTTACAACTCCTCTTTGGTCAATTTCTCTCTCAACCGCCCGAGGTTCCATCTGTTCTATAGGAAGTGGTGTCTGGTCTTGCTCGCAGTGCCAACGACGGGTCTTTCACAATACTTGCATTGCTTATTCTTGTTCCCTATAGCAACTGACTTATTTGGCCTCAAGTCCAGAAAGTGTTTCTTCACACCTTCGTTGACATGCTTCATCGTCCTACAAAGAACAAAGCACAAAAGCAAGCATGACTTTTGTTAAAATCAGTGTCTCCCTCACATCCCAAACTCCCGTTCACCTCATCCCAACAAACTATCAATCAATCAATCAATCAATCAATCAATCAACCAATCAATGGATCGATCAATTAATCAACCACTCAATAAATCGATCAATTTTTAATCAACCAATCAATGGATCGATCAATCAATAAATCAATCAATGGATTCATTCATTAATGGGTCAATCAATCAATCAATCAATTAATCAATCAATAGATCAATCAATCGATAGATGGATTTATTGATTAATTGATTGATTGATTGATCAATTCATTGATTGATCGATTTATTGATTGGTTGATTGATTGTATTGCTTGATTGAACTCAACAACGGAAAAGTGTTGTCAGAACTAGAATGTCAACAGACATTGATTGAAGAGTACGGCCAAAGGTCGATCGATCGATTCATCATATGGGTTGTTTGATTAATTGATCGATTGATTAATTGATCGATTGATTAATTGATCGATTGATTGATTGATTGATTGATTGATCGATCGGGTGTACAAGAATCTACCTGTTCAAAAACATCGACCTTTTCTCTGTGAGAGAGAGAGAGAGAGAGAGAGAGAGAGAGAGAGAGAGAGAGAGAGAGAGTCGGAGGAAGGGAGATTGAGAGAGAGAAAGATGGAGATAGATAGATATACAGAGAGAGAGAGAGAGAGAGAGAGAGAGAGAGAGAGAGAGCGGGAGAGTGAGAGAGAGTGCACGAAAAAAAAAAGAGGGAGAAAGAGTCACCCTCCCTCTCGTGTGTCAAGTAGACAGTTCAAATACACAAACAATCTGTCCAAATGAGAGCAAAGTAGCGAACTTGTGTACCAATGTTATCGCGTTGAAGTTGCAAAATCACGCAGAGGTTCTGATAGTCATGTACCAAGAAGAGAGTTCAAACGCACCAAGATTTCATCTAAATAAGAGCTCGTGTCCCAATGTTATTGCGCTAAATTTGCAAAATCACGCAGAGGTCTAGATAGTCAATATTAGTCATCTACCAAGCAGAGAGCTCAAACACACCAAAATTTCATTCAAATAAGCGCAAAGCAACGAACTCGTTTGTCAATGTTATTGCGCTTAAGTTACAAAAGCACGCAGAGGTCCAGATAGTCATGAATCAAACAGAGAGCTCAAATGCACCAAGATTTTATTCAAATAAGAGTAAAGCAATGAACTCGTTTGCCAATGTTATCGCGCTTAAGTTGCAAAATCACACATAGGTCCAGATAGTCATGTACCAAGCAGAGAGCTCAAACGCACCAAAATTTTATCCAAATAACAGCAAAGCAGCGAACTCGTGTGTCAATGTTATCACCGTGCTGAAGTTGCAAAATCGCTCAGAGGTCCAGATGCTCATGTACCAAGCAGAAAGCTCAAATGCACCAAGATTTCATTCAAATAAGAGCAAAGCAGTGAACTCGTGTGCCAATGTTATGACGCTCAAGTTATAAAATCACGTAGAGGTCCAGATAGTCATGTAATAAGCAGAGAGCTCAAACGCACCAAGATTTCATCCAAATAAGAACAAAGCAGTGAACATGTGTATCAATTTTATCGTTGTCAAGGTGCAAAATCACGCAGAGGTCCTGATTGTCATGTACCAAGCAGAGAGCTGAAATGCACCAAGGTTTCATCGAAATAAGAGCAAAGTAGCGAGCTCGTGTGCGCTCTTTGGCCCCACCAACACAATATTTAAAGTCGTGCACTATGATCACTTTCGACACCGAAGACCAGTGTGCATGAAGATACAAGAAATGAGTGAGAGCGATAGAMARAAAAMWAARAAAAWMAMAARAWWAAAAAAAAAAAAAAAAAAAAACAGAGAGARAMTTTAMRAAMGGAAAAAAAAAAAAAAAAAAAAAAAAAAAAAAAAAARATAATTTACGAATGCAAAAAAAAAAAAACAAAGAGAGAGAGATACAGACAGACATCGATGGTAGGCCTTCGATGACAAGACGACAATGGTAGGGCTTCAATAGCAAGACGGCGGCAGGGCAGACCTCCACGGCAACGTTCACGACAAGACGATGATGGCGCTACTGTCGGCGAGGACTAAGACGTTTGAAAAATCGCGATTTGTAGTTCTTCGAAATTTGCATCCTCCCGCCAATGGGTATGCTAGTATCCTCCAATAAGTTTCAAAAATTTACTTAGAGACCCTTTCAAGACCTGTCTGGTTGGGACGCCGCATCTAAAAAAAATTGAGCATCAATTTTTCGGGGTACCTTAGGCCCAGGTAAACAGCCTTAAAACCCGAATTTGTTTTTTCAAATCTTTCGAATTTGCGGTCCAACCAGACCTTCCTAACCAGACACCGGACACCGGACTGTTTTGATCGGGATCCGGACATCCAGTTGGTAACCATGCTTCAGATACATTTTGTGAACGAATTCATCATAGGATTAAACGGTTAAAATTATTTATTTTTTCCTCTAATAAAACAAAAAAAAATCAAGAGGGAAGTAGGTCGTGCTGCAACGGATCACAAATGGTAAAGCAAACAGATATTTTCAAGTACATCTGGAGCCAATATTGATACACTTGAAAATGTGTCACTCCATTTTGTTTCAGTTTGGGGCAAGTTTTGGGACAATGAGACTAGGAAAACGACTAGCATTACCCTCCGATAATTAACGGACTAAAACGGGGTATCAAGGTCAAGGGAAAATTAGCCTTAACATCCTTCAGATGCTAGAAAGAGGTGTCTCAAGCATGAGAGGAAACAATGACGGTAAATTGGAACCGTGAGATAAAGATGTAGTAGACGAAAATATTCGACACACTTGAAACACATGGCAAGGAGGACGTTGAGACTGGCGGGGATCGGGGAGTCCCAAATAAAAATGGGGCCACATTAGAAATGATGTCAGGGACTAGATGTGTCCAAATAAAATAAGAAAAAATTGGCACATGTGTCAGCGGGACCATCGGTGGGACTTGTTAATGA